TCACAAGCAGTGTTGGTATTAGAAATATGTTCCCTCGTTTCTTTGTTGCTCTCCATGTACTTCATGTTTGAAGGCCCCTTATGATTTGAAGCCAGATCAGTAAATGGAAATTGGCAGCACCTGAAACTCCACATATGGCCGTGAAGGTTTTTATGTAAATCCCGTGCTGCAGATGACTAGACAAATGCTGAATCAAGAAGTTGTCTTTTGTAAGCTGTAACCCTGATTCACTAATACCTGTGGTGTGCGGCGTGGGAACACGCACCATTTAACTCAGTGGAAATCTGTGGTGTTAAAATACTGTTTATAATTTTATATATATATAATTTATCGTCACGGAAGAAAATTAACTAATTACAGTTTTCTTTTTGTCCTTTTGCTTTTGCGCCTTGTTTGCTAAAAAAATCTTTGCTTGGCACTGACTCCCACCATCCCTCGCCATCCTCGCAGCCTGGCCCCCATGCATCTTCAGCAAAGCTTCGGAGGAGATGCAAGGAGAGCGCTCGAACAAAGTCCGTAGGTTGTGAGGCGCCCAAAGAGAGCGCTCCAAAGCACGGCGAGTCGGAGCCAGACTCTGACAGAAAGGGGCGAGTTTGCTCCGCCGAGCAAGACGTGGCTTTCGGCTATAAGCAAAAAGCTGGCAAAGGCGGAACGCTGTTTTCCTTCTCCTTGCAACTTCCAGAGTCATTTCCTTCCCTCCTGGATGATGACGGCTACCTGTCACTCCCTAACCTCTCCGAAACCAACCTCCTGCCTGCCAGCGTGCAGCACTACCTTCCCATCCGCTCCCCCTCCCTGGTGCCTTGCTTCCTCTTCATTTTTTTCTTTCTGCTCTCTGCCTCTTTCTCAGTGCCATACGCCCTCACTCTCTCCTTTCCTCTGGCTATGTGCCTCTGCTACCTGGAGCCCAAGGCGGCCTCCTTGAGTGCCTCACTTGCCAATGACCTGAGTGACAGTTCAGAGGAAGAGGTGTGTACCTCGGCATCGAACACACTCTTTTTCGTGTTCAGTGCTTCAGTCCTAACCAGTGTTAGATTGCTGCAATAGTGGTCCTACTTTCAGAGCCTCATTTCTGTCTGTGCTGATATGTTAGAAGGGGTGGTTTGGATTTTTTTTTTGTTTGGGGGTTGTTTTTTGGGGTTTTTTCCTTCTTTTTTTTCTTTTTTTTCTCGTGTTGGGAGTGCAGCTCGGGGCCCAGGGTTAGGCACAACACTGTGTGGAAGTGGCTTGGTTTGGACTGTGTCAGCTGATGCGAAGGGACTTGCACTAAACAAACTGCCACTCATCAGCTCTGAAGTATTGTATCTGAACCGACCAAGACCTTTTTCTTCCCCATATCAGTTTATGCTAGGGTTAGAATAGTTATCTAAATAGTGGGTATTAAGTACAATTTCCTGCATAATTACATATACGTATATGCGTATGTATATACATTATATAACTAGCTACCCAGTAATAATGGGCACCCTCACCAACCTCAGCACATTCAAAATTCAGGTGGACTCAACTTTTTGCAAGAGTCTGTCAGTTGTAGCCCGAGCCCAGAAAAAGACTTTCTGCTCCAGCGAAATTTGGATCTGAATTTTCAGCCTTGATCCCATCTCTGCTGCAGATGAGATTGTTTTCCCGTGCTTAACTCCAACGTAACGGTGAGAGAGGTCAGATTGGGACAGCTGTTCCGCAGCTGTTGGGGGAGCACGCCATGCGGGCCATCTTGCCGTTTGCAGTGTTCGGTTAGCACTGCCAAAACCGATGCCTCAGGCCACCAGGGTTATCACAGGCAGATAAACCAACTGCAGGAGGAGTCCACAGCGGTTCTGGGAACCGTGGATGTGATAATATATCCAGAAGAAGGAAAGGAATCTGCTTCTTTAAGTAACAGAGCAACTGGTGTCAGTTTTTGCTGGTGCCTAGTTATTCTTTGTTGACAGAATAAAATAATGGGTTCATTTTTCCCCCTTTTTTCCTTTTTCCCCTTCATCTTCAAATGCAAAAATACGGTTTTGCTTTGTATGTAAAAGAAAAACAACCCCACAGATCAGATAATCGCAGACCAGTTGGCTGTTCGTAAAATACCGTCTTGGCCACTTGTCGATGCTGTTGCAGTAGTTGTCCTCAATAAACCAGCTTGTGCATCTAAACGTATGTGTAAACCGCCACTGTTGGTTTTTGTAAGACTTGGTACAGGATTTCATTTCCTTTTTATGGAAAGCCAAAAGTCTCCTCAATTTATCTTGTAAAAACATTGTCTTTATACGCTTTTGGCTCTGTGATGCCTAACAACTAAATAATAACGTGCAATTTCTGATAAAAGGCATCCAAAATGTTGCTGTCTCATTTTGTGTCCTCATTTTGAGATAGCATTTAGGTCTCAATTTGCATTAGCTCTGCACTTGGATTAATCTAATAGCAATAACAGCATTAATACAGTGCCAGCTCCAGAGGCAATAACGAGGCAGTGTTTATGTAATACATTGCTCTGTTCCTCTTTCAGAAATGAGCGCTTCTTTTTGTTAGTAAAGTTAGGAAGTATTGAGCATAAAAACATATAAAATAGACTTTTTAGTGTCGCTCTTTTACGAGGGTGATTACTCTGGCAGTGCTTCCTGGCAGACAACACAGACTTGTGCCTAATCCAGGGGGTATTTCTTGTTCAAAATATTGCATGAAAGTGAATATGTTTTAAACTCGGGCATGTCTGCATTACATTGGCAAAACAAATCACAGCAATTACGATCTCGAATTAGAAGAGGTGCAGCTGCAGCATCTCAGGAGATAGCTGCCTTCCCTTTCTGCTCGATCCCTTGCCCGTCCACAAGCCCCACCGGCAGGTGCCTTTCCTTCAGTGCACCGCAGCCCCTCTCGGAGTTGAGCCTGACCTTTCTTGCTCTCCACTCCAGAGGACACCTGCCTTGCTGAGCCTTAATTCGCCATTCCCTGCTCTGCAATAACCCCAGATCTTTATTTCAAGTAACTCAGTAATGCTGACTTTCACTCCATGGCTGTTGATTGGCTTGTTAGCAGACATGTATGTTGCAACAAAGCGAATTTTATGCCTTATTTAGGATTTCATTGCTGTTATGGTAATAGACATAGAAAACCCTTTTTTTTCCCCCCATTTCACAAAAGGTTGCACCCAGTGATGAAGAATAATTAGGGTACTGCAACTAGTACCCTAAACCAATCTCATACCTCGCTGAGCTCCGTTCTCCTTTGAGCAGCACATCTAGAGGCAGTCCGTGCAGTCAGAGACACAATCTCACCCCTTAGATTTCATTATCTTCTATGTTCGTACCTTAGCAGCTAATATTTCTATTGACTAAATGCCTAGATTCATTAATTCCTCTCTTTTTGTAAATAGGAGTGACAATGCATAGATTTTTTTTTTATATATTGCCATACCTTTACAAGTGCTTACAATGTTATAAAGATGTGAGATCCTTCACTAATAAAGAAACGATTTTTTAACACTTCAGTGAAAGCAATGTGACCAGCTAGGTAGACTATTTTGGCATTACAGTTTCATTTAAAAATAAAAGCAGTCTGTCTAGTGAGTGGTTATTGCTTGAAAAATTGCATATAACTTGCATTTGCACACTTACAGAATAGTCCAAAATGCCCGCTTATTCTTCTGCCTGTCATACAAGCAATACAAATTATTCAAAGGGAGGAATGATGGAGAACAAAGCAATGAAAAAATATCCAAAAAGCACTTTTGTGAAACATTGCACTTGTCAGAACATGACAGAAGATGGGAAATTCAAAGTTAAGACTGATACTCCATCCACCAGTAGGTTGCTTTTTTCTCTTGTTTCATAGCGCTGTGATTTGAGGATGAGATGTATTGTCCTAGCTTTAAATTACCTGCCTGGGTTACTTTAGATTATCTAAGGACCACAGAAAATCACTAATCAAAACCAGAGCTTTCACTGATGTTAAAACAACTTGGACGTGCCAGTCTGGAGCAGTAGGGAGCACTTTTTCTACTTACTAGTTTTCCATAAGCTTGCATAACATCAAAAATAGTTGTTTGAACTCTCTTCTCAGCCTGTAGTATGCTACATGTGACTTTCTGTTTATTAAATCTCGACACTTCCATTCACCACTAAAATGTTCTTCACAGTGTCGAGCAAAGCAGGGATAGATCAGTCTGAGCAATGCTGTGCTTTGTTTCATTTTACCACTTGTACCTAGTAAGTGTTTTCGGGGCGGGGGAGTTACTTTTATTTTTCTCCTGCTTTCATCCATATTCTTAAATGGAATGAGAAGTATTTTTGATTCTTTTAATGGCGGTTTTCTTTCTTTTTACTATCGTTTTAACAATATCAGCTGCTCTTTATTGGAACCGAGTGGGATCTGAGCCTTACCATTACTCCGCAGACAGACAGTAGATGGGCTGGGGGTATGGTTATTTGAACTCCTTGGTAATGCAGACAGCCTCATGGTGTATAAATGTGGAGACAAGAACGACTTCTGTACAAATGAGGGGCTGAAAGTCAGGTGACTGTTAAAGTAGCCTTTTTCTTTTTTTAATTATCTTTTCCCTCTCTAGATAAAAAGTCAAATACCACATTAATCTGTATTAGCTAGAAGAAAAATTTGATTAATAATTTTCTTTGAAAAACCATTATGGGAGGAAAAGTTTGTTTAGAAAATATTAGCTTTTTTTTTTCCATTTTTTTTTTAAAGCCACCTGGCTTTCTTAAGAAAAAAAAAATTTGCTATTCTAATAATACTTTTCCAGTAATGTTTTGTTTGGCTTATAAATTTGTTCCAGTAAAGCCATATACTGTGTACAGTACGCCTCGAGTCTTCCTCTGAGTCTGTTCTGTTTACTAATATAGCATTTTTATTTTGCTTCTTTGACTTGTGCGTGGTTTGAAAAGCGGTGCTAATGCAGTTCGCAGGGATGTTGAATTTAACAGTTCCCCCGTGTGAGCCGCGTGTACTGATGAGCTGGGTTTATTCTTTATTCCTGCCTTCCTCTCGGGACCCGGTTACTTGTCTAACCAAATAGACTGACAGTGAGCAGACGGATACTGCAGCTGATGGTGAGACCACTGCCACCGAGGTTTGTACAGTTGGCCGGCACCCCGTTATGGCAAGGGGAGAGCGTTTCCCTTCGGCTCTTCCCGACCCTGAGTGCCAAAGTGCATGTCTCCTGCGGCAGCTCAGGGTCCCTCTCCGCGCCCGTGTGTGCATGTGCGCGCGAGTGTGGGAGCTTTGCTGGGGGGAGTCGAGTTTTCAGTGCTCCCTGCGGGTTCCTCTTACCTCTGGGTTTGGTTTGGGAACTGCAGCGAGGCGTACCTGCTGCGCAGGTAGCGGGGCGGTGGCAGCGTCAACCGGAACGGTCGTGCTGGCCGGGCTGTGCCCCAGGCTGTTCAGTTTGCTTGTTTGTCTTTATAATCTGCAGCCCATGTGAGAGAGAGGTGGGGGGAAAGACAGTAAAAAGCAGTTTTCAAATTTTCTGAATCAAGGTGTTTCCAGATCATAAACATCTGAGGTTTTCCTTGGATGTAATTTCACATGTCATCTTCACGTACTGCCTCCGGTAGTCCAGGTATTGTCTTCAGAGGAGGCATTGTTCTGTTTTCTCTGCACTGAGAAGCCTCATATATCCACAACACGGTATATAGACCATGCAGGCAAATTCAACCCTATGTGACTCCAGTGAAGTGCATATAATGCTTTCGTAATTAATATGGCTGCAGCTGCAAACATGAGCTGAATTTGGTCTGACATCTGGTAGAAGACAGAGTCTTACCACAAACACTACTGTAAATCTCATTAATATTTCAGACCGTTAAAATTATCATCAAGGAAGAATTCTGTGTGTGACGTGTCAGGGCAATTCGGCCTCGGCTGTAAATAGAATAGATTTGAGCTGAGTAATAAAGTAGTCAACAGATAAAGATTTTCCCACGGGTCATTTGACTAATTGGGACTATATGAAAAATTAACAATAAAATAGTGGTACGAGCATTAAAAGAATCCAAATGGAGCAATGACATAAAATCTGTCGAGGTGAGTGTGGAGCACAAAATGCTCTGAAGTGCCTCTTGCACTGTCTGGCTTCAGGCCTTGAGCCATGCAGAACATTAAACGTAATCCTAAACCTGTGACATTTCAAATGTGCAGTTTATTAATTAAAAATGCACGATAATCTCCCTAGCTGCCATCTTTATTTTAGGGGAAAAGATAATGTGAACTTCAGTTTTCCTTATGGATACCTGATTTTCAGGAAGTGTGGTATACTTGCCATCTGAAAATTCAGCCCTCAGAGAGGGGGCTGCTTTGGCAGTCTGTCTTGCGTTGCTTTGGAAAGCGTGAGCTGGAGTGAATTTGAGCTGAAATGTGTGCGATTCCAGAAGACCACCACTGCAGATGATAGATCCTGAAAGAATATATTCAGACTAAACATGAAATAAGATTATGGAAATACAGAAGGGGACTGAGGTTAGGGAAATTGCATATTTGGCAAATAAAATGTGCTTCATTCTGTGGAAAGTGTTGCGGGCTGTTTAACCCTGGTGAGTTAACACGAAGCTTTGCCTGTGGCCCAAGAGATGTTCAAACTCTGGGGTTACAGACTTCCAAAGAATTTGCTGTTGCCAGTCAGTCCCAAAGCAGCCGCAATCTTAGTGAGAAGGTCCAATTGCTGCACCCTAAATAGAGGTCTATGAACGTGGAACGCACCAATGATAATTCTAAAAGGAAAATGTTTACTATTCCGTCGTTCTCAATTTACAAGTTTGAAAAGTGGAGGCTTGCTCTGAGTTAGGAGAACCGTGCAAAGTCAACCAGTGGGTCTGCTCCTTCTCCTTAAGCCCTTAGCGTAGAGAAAATGAGACCTTAACCTAGCGTGTTCCTCTCAGCAATTTTTGAAAAGCCTTCGGTCATACCGGTGGGTAAGGTGTTGTTTTCCAATCTCTCTCATGCTGGCAGTCGGATCAAGAGGAGGACGGAGATCTAAAGGCACAGGTACAGAAACGAAAGGCCCAGATGTTGCTTAAGTATCACTGTTGGAGGTGTTCACCTCTCTCAGCATGTTATTGTCGGTTCTCTGTGAAGAAATGTGTAGAAACAGCATTTTGTATCCTTTCAATACTGTGTCCCTTACTTTTCCCTTTCTTTTTTCACTTCTTTCAGAATAGTCTGATTAAGCGAATACAGGGTGAAAATGTGTATGTCAAACATAGTAATCTTATGTTAGAGGTTGGTATTGGTATATACCAGTGCATGTACGTACATGTGTGTTAGTTTTAGTGATAAACTGTGAATCTGCACTATGATGCATGAACTGTGTATTCCCACCTGCTAATAAATTAAATAGATTTTTTTTTTCTCAGATTATGATGACTCCTCTAACTTGTGCTATAAATATATATATATGCGTGCACGTATGTGTGTGTGCGTCCACGCGCATATGTATGTTTGTTAGAAGCCTCTTTATCAGGTGTAAATTACAGCGATACAGTTAAGCTCTTTAAGAGTACATTTCTACCCACTTGTACGAGATATGCTATGCTGTTATCTTTCAAAATGCCACATTTTCACAGAGTCTTGTGTCAGTGCTGTGCTCCCCAGCTCCCTGAGATGTTACCTCCCTCTTTACTAACTGAGTTGTGTGTTTTGGCTCTAAAAATTGGTTGGCTTAGGATGTATTACAAACTGCTCTATTCTTTTAAAACTGTCCAGGACCTAGACAAAACCCAGGAAGATCTGATGAAACATCAGACCAATATAAGCGAGCTGAAACGCACCTTCTTGGAAACCTCCACAGAAACGGCTGTGTCTAACGAGTGGGAGAAGAGGCTTTCCACATCTCCCGTTCGCCTTGCCGCAAGGCAGGAGGAAGCTCCTATGATTGAACCACTAGTGCCTGAAGAGGTCAGCGTGAGCTGAAAGGCTTCATTACGTATTTGTCTATTCGTTTTTACTTTTAATAGCTCTCAGTAGATTTAGAAGCCCGTAGTTAAGAGGCCATTCCCCACTTGCAGGTGCTCCCTTTTTATCAGCACTAGGGCTGTAGCAGCAAACATGCGAGAAGGAATAGATACCTTTTATATATATATATAAG